TTTCTCATTTTGATCTATTTTTGCTTCTGTTTAGCATCGTCGTGGTTGCTAGGTGGCATGACGTACGCCGGGGTGGAGGGGAGGCTAGACCGTCCAAATACACAGCCTCTTTTTTTCCGGTCTTCCCGGTCTACCAAGGACCCGGCCCACCTCGACTGGGTAGTCTGGGTCCTCCGGAGGACCCGGCCTGTCGTTTTGGACACAGCCGATATGTCTCATTTAAGGGCACTTGGCTGTGGCAGCCATCTTGAATTGGATTGGCTCCAAAAATGAATCAGCAGTAGATGCACATCCAATGATTACGTTCTGCAAATTTGATTAAATTTGTCCAGTGGTTCATGGGGTATCTTGGTAATGAAGAGACACAGACACGGGCAAAAGCTTTACTGCCTTCCTTCACCGTGCAGCATCGGACAATTAAAAACATTCTGCTGCAAGTGACCATATTAAAGATCTTAGTCCCTTTTTGTGGCGTCCATCCAACACCCAAGTGTGTCAAAGAGGAGCCAGAGCAGCTGAATCCTATTATTCACTAAAGCGTGCTACACACAATACGTAAGTGGCGTCGTTCATTAGTGCTGTGGCTCCCAGCACTAACTGGCAAATTTATTTATTTTCTTTTTTTTGCTCGAGGAATGAAATGTTCCTCGCGTCACCAGAGAAGTCTGAATAGATTCTCGTCCAGACTGTCCATGGATTAGACCAGGATGTTGATTATTTTTGRTCTACAGATGATGATGCCTGTAAAAGGAATTTCTAAATTTCTGTCYTCATAGATTGTGATTAATCACGGTGCTCTGACGGGCTTATGTCTCATCTGAAAAGCCTCTCAGCAAGGTCAAAACAACCTGCTTATTGCAACTAACTATTTTGTTGAATCTACGCGTATTAGTGGTTGCTATGAGCTACATGTCTTCAAACATGTTGTCCATGCTGTTGTGCAAGTTATTCACATTTTGGATGTCTAGACCTCTGTCTTGCTCGTTAACTCAAACCAGGAATCCCTACTTGACTCATCACCGAGCCTCCTGCTCTGTTCTGGCTCTTGCTCCAGTGGCCTGACCCACTTCTTATTGTTAGATTACTATGGATGGATCAGTTGGAAATAATACTAAGCATGCAATCTGTTCGGTGTCGCCACAGTCTGAGGAAGCAGTTCGCACTTTKTGTGACGAGGTGGCTTCCCTCCAGGTGACAGAGGATGCCGTGGAGGCAAGAGTAAAAGCAGGAAATTTGATTTGAACTAGTGAGGATAGTCATTAAATAAAAATATGGTTGTAATAATTTATTCTAACGCAGTTCTGTCTGGATTTCCTTGAAATTACTTGACCCATTTTCATTGATTCTTTTTTTTTTTGTCTTAGGAGAATAAATACCTTTTAACCATGAGACATATGCACTTTTTTCTTTATTTCTTTCTTTTTCAAAACACTAACTTTTGTGATATTTGTATTGGGAGACAAAAACATAACCTGGTCAAAAACAAAAAATAGAAAAAAATACATGCAATAAAAGAATAACCTGAACCACTCCTGTAGTTCTTCAGATTAATTAGCTCTGCCAAGTGAGGAGGTAATGTTTTCGGTTGCGTATATCTGTCTGTCTGTGGACAAAATTGCTCAAAAACTTATGGACAGATTTTCATGAAAATTTCACCACAAGTGGGTATTGGCCAAAGGAACACACCATTAAATTTTGGTGATGATCCGGATCATGAGCCGGACCCAGGAACAGCCAAWCAGCTTCAAGGAAGCTGACTGTAGACTTCCAATCACATCGGATCATTCYTAGACGGGTCAACCCCCCGACTGTAGACATCCAGTGGGATTATCTGAAGCGGTGTAGAAGACCAATCACAAAGGCACATGGAAATAAAGCTTTAGACCAAATTGTTTTTAAATCAAAAAACTTATTGTTTGAAGTTACTTTAATGTAACAACAGATCATTTTCACAATACATCGGCCTGCGCATCCTAAAAATTTTGTATTTTGTGTTTACGTTTTTGGAGTTTTTCCCCCCACCTGTATCAGAAAAGTAAGCTAGCTAACTCACCACCCCCTTCAAGTCTATTATCCAGTAGATAATGCTAAGGTTTTCTTAAACAATTATGTTTATTCAGTTTTTTTTTTTTTTTTGCTAAATATTTTCTTTTTTCCTGATGCTGTTCCACTCCTTCTGTTGCATGCAATTTAATACGTGATTAGTCATTGTAAAGCACTTGTACACAAACACACATATGACTAAAAATGTAACAAATCACACACAAACATACGGCCTTGGCGGAGGTTTGCGCTSTTCGAGTGCTTCTAGTTGGAATTATGAAATGCAGGTCCGCTCTCAGTGTAAACAAAGCACTTGGCTGAACTAGCAGAAAACCGTGTCGAAGCTTGAGCCTCATCCAACATTCATGTCTGCTGTTAGGTAAAGAAATACGGAGGAATCGGACAAGCATGGGATCGAGGAGAAGACGTTCATGTGAAAATAAAAACAGTGGATCTTCTAAAAAGTAGAAGATGACAACAAATGTCAATCTGTGTTTGAATAGCTATAGTACGTAGTGCACCTGCACAAACTTGGTTTTGTTTTGTAGAGAAACGGGTCAAACACACCTTGTTTTTAAGCGCTGRTTCYTTTTCGATAGACTTTTAAAACAATCTATGCACTCGACAAACTGAGCGTACCAACACATCGGAGTTGTTTGACTTCTTCATCCCAAACAGTTCTCCCATGGACGTCGCCAGCTTTGTCCTCCTTTCAGTAACTTTGTATGTTTCTGTAGGTAAACAAGCACACCTGGTTGGTTCAAAAACATTGCTTAGAAAATAAAAATGTGCAGATTTTTTTGACTGCCTTTTATGACATCGTTAAGAAGACCAGACTGAAGTGATTTAAAAGAAACACAGACGTAAAAGAGGGGAGGGGATATGTCTCAAATTTACAGTTTATTGTTGAGGCTTAAACATATTGCTTAAACAGTTTGTTATTTAAAGGCTTCAAATATGTGGAAATGAAATGCATGAGGTGAGCATGTTAACAGGCAGCATGACCTATGAGGTAGATTCCTCAGCATGAAATCAGACCAGTCAGCTTCCCAGGGGGCCAATGTCATGATCCACAAACC